GCACTTTACCAGGAGAATAGCTCTGCTAATGTTTCTGTGAATTGTGCACATCAGAACCTTGTAACTATCCCTGATGACCTCCCCAGAAATGTCGCTTCACTACGACTTCAAAACAATCTGGTTAAAAAAGTTAGCAAAGATGATTTCAATGGCATGTTCAAGTTAACATTTCTAAATGTAAGTCAAAACAAAATCACTCAAGTGGACAATGGATCCTTTGTTGACTTGGTTTTGCTGAAAACATTCATCATGAGATGTAACAACTTGAATAACCTGACAAGCAACATGTTTCAGGGTCTATCTAACCTCACCGCACTCTACCTCAAATACAACAAGGTTCAGTTCATTCACAGATCGGCCTTCCAGTTCCTGATCAGCTTACAAACTCTGGATTTAGGTTTCAATCAGCTCCAACATGTCAGTGACATTCAGCACATCCTACAGCTACCACAAATACAGAGGATTAACCTTGAATGCAGTCAGTTTTCTTCCTTCGAAACCAAAGACCTGCCGCTAAATTTCTCCTCAAACCTTAAAACGTTGGATGTTTCCGGTTACATGATGAAAAAATTCAGCATCACAACACCAATCTTTCCTCACCTTCAAATGGTGGATCTTTATCCATGTGAACATTTTTCCAACCTTCAATGGGACATACCTGACAAAACCTTACTGAGAAACATAGCACACCTCTGTCTTAAGAAGCGATTGTTTTCCTTTCAAGGAATCCAAAACGTCCTGCAAAACCTTGACTCCCTGAGACATCTACAGCTACATTCTTTGAACATATGGATTAGGGCTGTTATCTACCATCTGTAAAATACCAACATTAAGAGTGCTGGATTTGTTTAATACTAACCTGAGCAACTTGACAGCTCAACTTGCTCCTTGTTCTCAGCTCGTAGAGATTGACCTGAGAGAAACTCAGATAACAGAGCTACCAAAAGGCTCAATCCAATCCATGAAGCTATTGAAATTCCTGATCGTGAGCAACAACCAGCTCACCAGGGTCCCATTTGACATCAGAAGCCTCACATCTCTTAAGATTTTGAACATGGGACACAATCATATCTCTAAGTTGAGATGTGATGTTTTTTTGAATGTGACGCATCTTAAAGAGCTTCACTTAAACTCTAATCGTATTACCGAACTGTGTGCGAGTGTCTTTGACAATCTCATTGATTTAAAGCTTTTAGATCTGAGTAACAATCTGCTGTTCAGATTTGACGACACCTTTAAAGTTACTCTTCGGAAACTTGAGGTCTTGGATCTGAGCCACAACTCCATACCAGCTCTAGAAACTGGGGATTTTCGAGGTTTGCAGTCACTGAAACAACTGAACGTTGAATCGGATAATTTTAAAAAAGTGAGAAGAGAAACATTTCAAGGACTAAATGACCTGCAAGTTCTTACCATATCACTACCTGCATTCAAACCAATCTTCAAAGGACTACAGAACTTGGAAAACCTTACCATCTACTTATATGGTGACTCATTCAACATGCTTCCTAACACTGAAGCCTCCTTTTACTTAAAAGCAGTGAAAACCCTGTCAGTCATTTGCAACAATGATCCACATGACTTTCACCTTTATGTCCCAAAACAAATGCTTCAGGCAATGAAACATTGGGACAAATTTGAAGCTGTAAATATCTATATTAATGCTCCTGAAGTAGACACATTTAGGTCTAATCCCGAGCTCAAGAGTCTGACATTAACACATAATGATTTGTCAGATTTGCAGCCTGAACTTTTTCTACCCATCCCAAATTTGGAGAAACTTGATCTTTCTAAGTCTGAGCTCAAGTCTTTGGATTTTCTGGTGCAGGCCAACCTAACTGCTCTCAGATATCTGAAACTAACAAACAATGAGATCACTGTGATTAATGAGGAAGTGCTGAGTTCTCTCCCCTCTCTGACATATTTAGACATGAGCATTAATACATTCACCTGTGACTGCTCCAATGCAGATTTTATCCAATGGATAAAAAACAACAACCAAACACAGGTGGTAAATGCCCATCGTTATAAATGTTTCTTTCCCATGAACAAAAGAGGAACCTTGTTACTAGACTTTGATATCAAGCCATGTTCAAACGATGGCAGCTTCTTGCATTTCCTCTCCAGCAGCTCTTTGGTTTTTCTGACTCTCCTCACATCCTTCATCTACCACTTCCTGAGGTGGCAGCTGGCCTACACATTCCATCTCTTCCTGGCNATACCAAAACTGGAAATTCTGGATCTATCTGAGTCGAAGCTCAAGTCTTTGGATTTTCTGGTGCAGGCCAACCTTTCTGCTCTTAGATACCTGAAAGTGACTGATAATGGGATCAACGTGGTTAATGAGACCGTCTTTAATTCTCTCCCGTCTCTAACGTACCTGGACCTGAGCAATAACCCGTTCACCTGTGAATGCTCCAATGCAGATTTTATCTTTTGGACAAAGGGCAACATCCAAACACAGGTGGTAAATGCCCATCGTTATAAATGTTTCTTTCCCATGAACAAAAGAGGAACCTTGTTACTAGACTTTGATATCAAGCCATGTTCAAACGATGGCAGCTTCTTGCATTTCCTCTCCAGCAGTGCTTTGGTTCTTCTGACTCTCCTCATCCTTCATCTACCACTTCCTGAGGTGGCAGCTGGCCTACACATTCCACCTCTTCCTGGC